GGCCTTGTCTCTACCTCCTCTGCCTATGAGGTCCAGCACATGTCCTTGTTTGCCACACTTCTCGCCGCCCTCGTCCCCACCCTCCACGTATACGACGGCCTTCGCACCGCGAGAGAGACCTTGAAGGTGGTGGATGCGCTGAGCGAGAGCAGCATCGCCGAGATCTATAAGAAGGTTTCTCAGGAGGTTTCTACCCTGAACAAGAGATTGGATACCGCTGGCAAGGTTGTTGAGCTCTTGAACCTCTTCAACAACGAGCTCGGCACGTCCTATGCTCCTTTCGAGTATCACGGACATGAGGCCGCTGAGACCGTTCTGGTGGTCTTTGGCAGCGCCGAGGCCCAACTTGCCAAGCAAGTTTTCAACACTCTGGCCGCCGAGGGCAAGCGCGTCGGTGCGGTCAACGTCCGTATCTACCGCCCCTTCATTGAGGAGGCCTTCCTGGAGGCTCTTCCTGAGTCGGTTAGACAGATTGCTGTTCTTGGCCAAGTCCGCGACTCTGTTTCCGTCGATGATGCTTCTGTTCAATCTGCATTGTACTCTGACGTCCTTACCGCCGTCTCCTTCGCTGGTAGATGGTCCCAGGAGCCAGTTATTGTCGACTTCAAGTACGCTGCATCTACCACCCACACTCCCACCTCCATTGCCTCAATCATCGAGAAAATTACCAGCAAGAGTGGTGAGGGCGAGGTCGCCCTCTCTCTCCTCTCTCTCGAGGAGGCCAAGCAGTACACCTTCTGGGATCTTGACAACTCTGCTGCCGTTGCTTCGCCTTCTGTTGTTAGCAAAGTTCTTTCTCGCGAGTCGTCGAACAACATCTCCACCCACGAGGTGTACAACAACCTCATCCATGGCGGTATTGTTCGTACCGATATTCGTAGCTCTGAGAAATCGGTCGAGGCTCCGTTTGCGGTTGACCAGGCCGATGTCGTATTTGTTGGCGATGAGAAGCTTCTGAAGGAGGTTGATATTGTCGCTGGCGTGAAGGCTGGTGGTAAGCTGATTGTTCGCTTGCCCAACTTCAAGTCGGAAGATGTTGAGAAGCGCATCCCCGATTCGGCGAGAAAGGAGGTTCAATCCAAGGGTATCCAGCTCTTCGCTCTTGACTCCTCATTCTCTCCCGCCCTGGAGAAGAATGCTCAGCTTCTCGTTCAGCTCGCCTTTTTGCAGGTCGCTCGTCCTGAGCTCACTCGTGAGCAGCTGGTCAAGCTGAGCGAGATCTCTGAGGATGAGGTCATCTTGGCCGAGGTTTCAGACGCTCTCCAGCAGGCTCTTCACACCATTGAGGTTTCCGCCGCATGGGCTGAGGAATCTTCAGAGGCTTCGCCTTTCCTGGTCAAAGAGCTGAAGCCCACCAGCTTTGCCGCTTTCGACAAGGCGGTTGAAGAGCCCTCTATCGCTGTCAACAGCTGGCAGGAAATTGCCAAGGGCCTTGCGTTCAAGGAGGCCTACGGCACCAAGACCGAGCTCCGTCCCGATCTTACTGTTAAGACCCACACCGTTCATGTCAAGGAGAACCGCAGACTCACTCCTCTCACCTATGACCGTAACATCTTCCACATTGAGTTCGACCTGGGTAACTCTGGTCTTACCTACAACATCGGTGAGGCTCTTGGCATCCATGCCGACAACGATCCCAAACAGGTCCAGGAGTTCATTGATTGGTACGGCCTCAATGCCGAAGACCTTGTCCAGGTTCCTTCGCGCGACGATAACAACGTTTTCGAGACTCGCACCATTTACCAGTCTCTTCTCCAAAACATTGACATCCTTGGCAAGCCTCCCAAGCGCTTCTTCGAGGCCCTTGCCGAGTTTGCCACGGATGAGCTGGAGAAGAAGAAGCTTGAGTTCCTTGGGTCCAAGGAGGGCGCCGAGGAGTTCAAGAAACTCTCCGAGGTTGAGACCGTCACCTATGCCGATGTGTTTGCGACCTTCAAGTCGGCTCATCCCGAGTTCCATGACCTCGTACGCATCGTCGCTCCTCTCAAGCGTAGAGAGTACAGTATCGCTTCTGCCCAGGCTGTCACTCCAACTTCGGTTGCGCTCATGATTGTCGTTGTCGATTGGGTCGATTCCAAGGGCCGCCAGCGCACTGGTCAGGCCACAAGGTATCTTTCCGGCCTCCAGCCCGGCGCGGCGGTCATTGTTTCTGTCAAGCCCTCAGTCATGAAGCTGCCGGTGAAGGATACCGCTCCTTTGATCATGGCTGGTCTTGGCACTGGTCTTGCTCCCTTCCGTGCTTTCGTCCAGTACCGCGCCATGCAGAAGGCCCAGGGCAAGGAGATTGGTTCTATCCTTCTTTACCTTGGTTCTCGCCACAAGAGGGAAGAATACCTCTACGGCGAGGAATGGGAGGCGTACATGGATGCCGGCGTGGTTACACTCCTTGGTGCCGCGTTCTCGCGTGATCAGCCCCAGAAGATTTATATTCAGGACCGTATGCGTCAAACTATGACTGATATTGTCAAGGCCTATATCCAAGAGGAGGGTTCCTTTTACCTTTGCGGTCCTACATGGCCCGTACCTGATGTCACTGCTGTCCTGGAGGAGGCTATTGCTACCGATGCTAAGGCTAACGGACGCAAGGTCGATCCCAGAAAGGAGATTGAGAGACTCAAGGAGGAGGGTAGATATGTGTTGGAGGTGTATTAAGTGTATTTGTTTGTAGATATAGATAGCCGTTTGTATATTTTGAAAAATTCTGTTGTTACTTGTTTCAATATCTTGAAGCCCCTGAGATTCCAACTTTTTGCACCTCGTGTCATGGGTGTCCGCATGTCCGTTGGCCATTGACACCCGAGCCCTGCGGGGTAATGTGGGGGAGCCGAGCTGTCACTTCCCCAGGCCCGCTTCTCCGATCTCAGTAACCAATCAGAGAAGTTGGTACGGTTCCGGGAGATCCTAACCGCTTTGTGGGGAAATGGGGATGAAATCGAGGGGGGAGGGATGACCTCGGAGCCGACCGTGTCTCTGCAGGAACAACCGGGAATTTGACATCATCCATTCTCTTTCACCTCATATACTTTTCTTTTCGAGTTTCAGACGGTTGCAAATCTAAACCTCCTTGTGTTGCTCTTGAACAGGCTTTATAGGTGTATATGCCAGACAATTGATTGACTTTCACCATGACGGGATTAGTACGAGTCTTACCAAACGTATGTGTGCCACTCCTCACCTCATTCCTCCCTTGATATCCGCCTCACTCATCATGATGCTCATCTGTTGTTCAGCGCGCAACTCGCGCCCTCAACCTCCTGCGAACAATCCAATATACACATCCTCCGTCATGTCCCTGCCACGGAAACCCGTCTCATCATCATCATGCTACTCACAAGCCTTCGTCACTCATCTCCCGGTTCGCTGAACGGTCTAACAACTCCTCGAAAAGGGGTTACGCCACGCCAAGGGACAACTCACAACTAAAGGAGTACGCATTCGAAATGGCCGCCTCTTCAATTCGCTTCGGCCCAGGAGTTACGAGGGAAGTGGGTATGGATTTGAGCAACATGGGCGCAAAGAAAGTGTGCGTGGTCACAGATCAGACGGTGGATAAGTTGGAGGCCATGAGACAGGTAAGAGAGGCGTTAGATGCCGAGGTGAAGCAGGGAGGGATATCGGAATACAGAGTATTCAATCGTGTGAGGATCGAGCCGAAGGATTACTCGTATGTCTTCCTTTGTTTGAAATTTTATTTCTCAGGTTATTAACATTGGGAGTACAGAATCAAGGAGGCGATCGAATGGATCAAACCCTACCAACCTGACGCCATCCTGGCAGTCGGCGGCGGCTCGGTAATTGATACCGCGAAGCTGATGAACCTTTACTCCTGTTATCCAGAAGCGGACTTTATGGACTTTGTCAACGCTCCCCTCGGTAAAGGTCGGCCAATCGACAGAAAACTCCTGCCTCTCATTGCGGTCCCAACTACGGCAGGAACGGGCAGTGAAACCACTGGCACGGCAATTTTTGACTTGGCAAGCAGAAAAGCAAAGACGGGAATCGCGCATAGGAATTTGAAGCCTACTCTGGGAATATGTGATCCTTTGAATACGCAGACTATGCCGGCTGCTGTCAAGGCTAGTTCTGGGTTGGATGTGTTGTGTCATTCTTTGGAGTCGTGGACTGCAATTCCGTTCAATCAGCGAACCCCTAGACCGACAAATCCTATCTTGAGACCGGCTTATCAGGGTGCCAATCCCATCAGTGATGTTTTTTCGTTGACGGCATTGAAGGCAACGGTGAAGTATTTGCCTAGGACGGTTAAGGATCCGGAGGATGTGGAGGCGCAGACTGAGATGTTGCTTGCTTCTACACTCGCGGGAGTTGGGTTTGGTAATGCGGGTGTACATTTGTGTCATGGTGAGAGTCTTGCTCTTCTGCTTGAAATTGTGTTGTTGCTAATGATGATTAAAGGCATGTCGTATCCTATTTCCGGCCAGAATCCTGGATATCAGCATTTTGGATATGAAGTCGATGCACCCATTATTCCCCATGGTGTCTCAGTTGCTGTTACTGCTCCTGCTGTCTTCCGTTTTACGGGTCCATCTAATCCAGAGCGTCATCTTGCAGCTGCTGAGGCTTTTGGTGTTGACATTTCGAACGTCAAGAGGGAAAGCGCTGGAGAGGTCCTTGGAGAGGCTTTGACCAAATTTTTGGCTGATTTGGGCGATCAACCTGCTGGATTAAAGGCTCTTGGATTTGGGAGAGAACATATTGATGAGTTGGTTGAGGGCACGATACCGCAGGCTCGTGTGCTTGATTTGGCACCTGGGTTGGCGAAGGAGTTGGAACAGGAGAGGGAGCAGTTGAGAAGACTGTTTGAGGATTCTTTGGAACATTAAAGATTGGAAAATTTAGTTGGATTGCTACATTTGTCATTTTTCTTTCCATTTCAAAAGTTATATATATGTTGCAACGTTATATTGCAATATTTCCCCCCCTTTGAGTCACTGGGGGACTGAAAATAAGATATTTTCACACTGAGCAGATGTGATGATCAATGACAACTGTGAGATTCGAACTCACGCCCTTTCGGACCACGGAATATCTTGAAACCCAAGATAGTTTGTTAAGGGTTGAATATACCTTAAGGTGGCGCCTTGTACCGCTCGGCCAAGTTGCCCTGTTTGATTGATGCTTGTTTTGTTTATTTGAGTGTAGAAGTTTTATGTATATTAGTGAGGAATTTTGTTGTTTGAGATTGGGTTTTTTGTTGATAGGTTGAAGATTATATAGCTTGATTGCTCGAAGTTGTGTTGTTTAGTGACTGGGAAAGTTTTTGGGATAGTTTATGTTATTTTTATCGATTTTGTTATCTTTTTCATTTCTGATGGTTCCTTGTTGAACGGTGGTGATTAAGAAATCCTGGGGATACATGTGGGTTATTGAATGGTTTATTTTCTTGTAGGAAATAATCTTCCCAGACGGTTCAATTTCTAGAGGGTTGTGTTGTGGTTCCCAAGCCTTTCACCCGGTTTTATCTATTTTTGTAATGCTCATTTTTGGGAAAGTCATGATATGTCGCAAATATTGGCTTTAATGCGGTTTCATCAAGTCCTTGCGGGGATGTTGAAATCTTTTGTTAAAGTAAAAAACAACGAAAAGGAAAGAAAGAAATAATGCCTAATACTTGGTTCTTTTCCTCCGTTGATTAATAAATTTAAACTTGTGGGAAAAAAGGACGATTTTCTTTTTAGGCCCGATCATCAAAAGATTCCAGCTCACACCCATTTCTGGATTGATAACTCGGGAACTGCTCCTGAGCTCAGCTGGCCAGCTGCTTGGCCCCAGCTCCCGTACAGAACCCAGGCCGTTATGAATGAGAATGCACCACCCCATGGACCGAATTCATAAGCCGCGAGTAATTCTCCCCTTCTCCTTTAAAAAGATCGTTGTGGGAGCCGAAGAAATAACTGCCGTTGGTGTGAATCATGGAAGTGGCGGCCTCATGACAGTCAAAACAGGCACGGGCGGAAAAGATACAGGAGTGGCCAGCTGATACGGGGGAGTAAATGCTCTTTGATGAATCGCCACTGTTGATCGAAACTGGGGTGCATGCACCAGATGTCATCCCCCTCCTATGGAGCGATCAAGACAATATAACTCCGTTCCTGCTCTGCTTGAAAAACCATCTGGCCTTCCAGGTGACGGGGGCCTTGGATCGCACCACCTTTGCCAAATCTGGCGTGGTTATCACCCACTGAGGTAGGATATTCAATGGGAGCGGCGATGGGGTGATGATCCGTCGTCTATTTCAGTTGAGCTATTATACCTTAGCATAGAAACTTTGACGCCGTGCGAAAGGGTATCGTGTCGGGCGCGGTTGACCGCGTCCGGCTCGGTGGGTGGATTTAACTCCTAAAATTTGGGTTTCGAGCCGGACGCAGTTGGTCTGGTCCGACGCGGTAATAGCTCGAGTCGGAGGCGGGTTGATGGCTCCAGTTGGCGGGCCGGGCTCAGCGCTCAAAGAGAATATACCTACCAAGAATAGAATATGGCAAAAGTCGTCACTTTCTCATCATGGAAATGCAGACTGAAACTTGGAGAAAGGAGCTTGATGCCAAGCGGCTGCTTTCCTATTTCGGAAGCACGGCACTTATACAATACTCCCCTTTTCCATGTTTGTTAGTCCAGTACATGAATATCAACACGCGGTTTTAAAGTAAAAGACACCTGTCTGATTCCAAAACAAGTCCTATTTATAGATACAAGCATTTTTTGATAATAGAAAGGACTTTTTATAAGTAAGCAGCCATTCCCTAAACATGAAAGGCCGTTTTAAAAGAGAGGGTCAATTCACACTATGGCTGACGACCTTCTGCACACTGGGCACTTCATACAGCGAAGGACTTTCGTAATTTTACGCCTAAAACAAGTAGTTCTGAGAAAGTAAAGAAGGTAGAAAACGCAAATCCATTCAACCATATAGTCCTTATTTTTTTGAGCTTGTAATTTGCTGTCGTGGGAGAGAAATATCCATTGTTAAACTTTTTCGTGGATGTACGTTTTTTCTTTGAAAAGACCGATGGGTTAGAGTTTTATGTGAGCATCAGTCATAGTGTGAATTGACGCTCTCTTTCAAAAATAAATAGGTGTTTTCAACTTCAAATAGATGTATTGATATTCATGTATTTAGCGAAGAACCATTCAAGGGGTGGTATTGTATACTCGTGCGGCTTGACATGTAAATCCGACTTCGTGGTAGAGGAGAGGCTGCGCAGCCTTGTCTCTTTCGTCTGGGGATGTTGACCTGGGGTTATCAGCAGGAACAGAAAGGCAAAAGATGTTAGTTGATGCTCCAAACTAATTCTGTGGAGTCGATCCTCAAGGTTTCTTCATCAAAACAGGAACTGGACACAACCTGGTAATGGGCCTCATGAGAGATCAACCGTTCACACCCGGAGGCGTGGACCATGCTTTTGGCCTCTCTGTTTCTGGCTGTCAGCCGACCGCCTCAGCTGATGAATTATGGAGGGTACACTATTACATGGGCCACCGATGTTGACGAAATGTGGAAGTGGTTAAAACGGCCCGAGAAACCTTCTGCGTATCGAGACGATATTGAAGGAATGACTCCTGATAGCCCTTCGTGAGACGATGGGTCAACTGATGCCTTTGGAAGTCTGATCCCACAACGATTCTTGTGGTCGTGTTGTGATGGCGTGGCTCGCATGTTTACCTGTAAATAGATCACACATATGGGCTGTCCTTCCCCATCGGGGGTATTGGATGGAGTCAGCCGGTGACGTGGATTGAGACTGATAAACTCAGGCACTCGGATCTGGAAATGTTAGGAGAGCTGTCTACCTCGCTCAGTCAGTACTCAGAATCTTTCCACGAGTTAGAACGACCAAGTCTCAGCCCAACTTGAAGATTCTGAACATTTCCTTTGCTGCTGCTTTTTTGACTGAAAGTGTTCAAATCTTCAGTGATTCCCGGTCACGAGACGGTCTGGCTCTCAAGTGAATGCAGACAAGTCCCAAAGGTCTTGCCGTCATCGCAATGGTTCTGTTCAGGATGTCATGTGCAGCTTTTGGAGACCAGCACAAAGTGCGAAGCTAGATTTGCCAAAGTCATGGCGGCCGGGAAGCACAAGAAAGTTCTCCACGATGCCGACAAGTCGACGAATGTGTTTTCTCTGATACCTGACCATAGGGCCAATGGGAAACCATTATAAATGGAATTTACCATCTTCAGCGACCTGGTCAGTCACGAATGGTGTTGAATTTGGTAACTATGGGCGTGTGAGTTGGACTGAAATTCAGTCATCTTATTGGTGCAACCGCAACCTCGACAGCAAGATACTAAATAGATCTCGTGATATTGTAGAAAGTGCCGTGGATGTGGTTGTGGCACAATCAGGTCAGCATCTCGCCGGCGATCACATCCAGAGAGTTGGTATTATCGTCCGGCAAGATGGTCGTTGTTGTTGGACCGGTTGAGAAAATCTGGAACAGCTGGAAATGAAGTGACTCGCACGGCGTAGCTGATGATTAGAATGAATCTACCGAATGACCGAAATTTGTGCTTTCTTGAGGAATAATGCCGACGAAAGCCTCGCCCTTTCCACAGGCGATCATAAGTGTTGATCGGCTGACTGACGTGGTTGTCGTGTAATGTCTCTCGGAACCGGCGTGAAAAGATCCTGACACCACCCCGAGCAGAAAGTCTCGTACAAGGTGATAATATATCGATCCGGTGCCGGAGATTGTACATGTACATGGGATGGCTTCAGAACAAAACAAACCGCCGGAACCACCATGGTTTTGGAATATAAAGATGCCGTCTCCTCCCATTTTCTGGAGGTAGTAAATCAGCACAATTTCTTTGAGTAAAACCAAAATTCCAAACAAACCTATATTCAAGATGAAGCTTTTCACCACTCTGTCCGCTGTCATTCTCCCTTTCCTCCTCAACCCTGTGGATGCTTCGCCCGCCATGCGAGGGGACGAAATCCCTGGATACAAGACAGTCGAGCTGTCTTGGGAGGTTGCAACCACACCTGGCGGTCCGACCATGATCCTGAATGGGACCGTCCAGCAGGTTCGAGCTCAGCTCCTCCAACTCAACCCGAACTACGATAACGACTTTGCCGAGCTCACAGCGGCCAGTAAGGCCGCAGCAGCAATGCGTAGATCTAAAGGGGTCTCAAAAGATGTTGACCCTAGTCACCGGCTATGCGATATCTGGGGAAGGTGGGATTCGGCCACTAAGAAGCGTATCCTGGAAGGCATCGACTACCTCCACCACATAAATGGACAGCCGCACCAAGGTCCCGGACCTGGAAATTGTGGTCGGGTCAGTTGCAGCTTCGACAGTGCTATTATTTGGTGCAATGACAACCCGACGACCAAGTACTTGGACAACTTTAATCTCATCGCCGATGATGCCCTGAACATTATCACCGAGTGTCCCGAAATCGATACAGAGGTTTTGGGTGTTCGCACTATTAATGGTCAGTTATTCCACGACGATGGGTGGAATACCATTGTCAAGGGTGCAAAGTGCTAGATGGGAGATAGATCAACGGCCGTCGGCCGCGGCTCGAGATGGAGACAGAGACGGAGTGAGGGAGGGGCGGTGTTGCGGTAGGACAAGTAGTCAATTGCACAGTTAGTTGGAAGGAATAGTTGAATGATTTGGATTATTAGTAGTAAGCTTAATATTGTGTTTTAAATATTTTCTGTTGAATTTGAGTGAGATGATCTTGTGATTTTGGTTGTAAGAAGAGGAAATGGAGAAATTCAATCTGAAATTTCGAAATCCCATACGCCCCCCAAGTACCCGTAAGCTTGGCAAATCTTGGCTGTATCCTAACACAAACAAGCCACACCTGGAACCGGCCGCACGGACCTTTCAGTCTGCGGCTTCAGTGCTGGTTGCATTGCCTGGGGAGCGTCGAATCAACCTTCCATCACACAGGGGGTCAATCCCGTATCCACCCCTCTCTCCTTAGCTATCTACCTTGACTGGACTTTATCTCCAGCAATATTTTGCTGTCTGATTAACCATACTAATTGAACGATTGCGCAAACATTTCTGAATTGAAAGCTGGTCGCCAAACATGTTGCCCACCCTCGACCAAACACTCGCGCTATCTTCAAGTTCATGAACCCAACTCCC